TTTTTAAACTTTGGAGAATGACATACAAAACTCATTATCATGGACCAAGAATTGGTATGTTTCGATGGTCAAAACAAAGTTGTTTTCCCTGTTTCCTCAACAATGTCTCATTGGCTACAACTAAAATGTAGAGTCAGCAATAACTGATAACTGACAATATACTTACTGACTCTTTTACAAAGTGGGAAGGGGAACCAAAGTTTACAGCAAAGTAATCTAATTATCAAGTACTGTTAAGTCTGTGTTTCTGCATTGTGTGTGGAATCTTTATTTATTTTTACCTTGTCTCTTGAGTGTCTTCAAAACAATTGTAATTTGAGATTTGGGCAATATAAAATGAAGCAAATGATAAGATAATGGGCAAAACCATTACCAAAATGAGACCAGCTGTCGACCTTGTCTTTGGAAAGGAAGTTCTGGCAGACTTCCGTTGGAGCCCAGCCTAGTCTTATTTCAAACTGATTAGCAAACATTCTAGTTAATCAATCCTGCCCCAAATTAAGTTGTTGGTAACAAGAAAGGAGCAGTACAATTTGCATTACAAAGTTCTCAAACATCTGAGAAATATGGCTTCCCAAAGCTTCCTTCATATTGGTTTCTTTAGCCAACTGGCTTATTTTCAGAAAGGCTTTTCTCATTTTCAAATTAAGAAGTGGGCTCAGTATGTTGACATACTAAAGGATGAAATAAAACTGCACACTCAGATGCTTCTGTATTTTCAGACAGATGTGGGTGATTCATTTTTTACAATAATTTATTTATGTCTCCATGTATATTGACCTACATGCAGAAATGCTAGCAAGCATCCACTTGATTCTAGACATAGATTTATGCATTCTGAGAGAGACCCATGTCTTTGTTATTGACTAACCATATTTCTTTCAATTAATATTTTTTTAACTTTTTTTTATTGAGAAAAGAAAAAAAAACAAATTTCCTCCTCCTCCCAGCCTCCCATTTCCCTCCCCCTCCTCCTACCCTTCTCCCCCTCCCCCCACTCCTCTCCCCCTCCCTCTCCAGCCCAAAGAGCAGTCAGATTTCCCTGCCCTGTGGTAAGTCCTAGGTCCTCCCCCCTCCGTGCATTTCTAGGAAGGTGAACATCCAAACAGGCTAGGCTCCCACAAAGCCAGCACATTACGTAGGTTCAAAACCCCGTGCCATTTCCTTGGGTTCTCATCAGCCCTCATTGTTCGCCATGCTCAGAGAGTCCAGTTTTATCCCATGCTTTTTCTGTCACAGTTCAGCTGGCCTTGGTGAGCTCCCAATAGATCAGCTCCACTGTCTCAGTGGGTGGGTGCTCCCCTCGTGGTCCCGACTTCTTTGCTCATGTTCTCCCTCCTTCTGCTCCTCATCGGGACCTTGGGAGCTCAGTCCAGTGCTCCAGTGTGGGTCTCTGTCTCTGTCTCCATCCATCACCAGATGAAGGTTCTATGATGATATGCAAGATATTCGTCATTTTTGCTCTAGGATAGGGTCAATTCAGGTTCCCCATCCTCAGCTGCCCAAGGAACTAACTGGGGACCTCGGCTTGGGTATCTGGGAGCCACTCTAGGTTCAAGTCTCTTGCCAACCCTAAGGTGGCTCCCTTAACTAAGAACCGTGCTTCCGTGCTCCCCCATCCAACCTTCCTTCATCCCAATCCTCCCCCTTCCCCAAGCTCCCCCCTTTCTCCCCCTCTCCCCCCTCTCTCCCGATCTCCCCTTACCCCCATCCCACCCCACCCCCAAGATCTCAATTTTCTCCCCGGCAATTTTGTCTACTTCCCATAGCCAAGAGGGCAACTATATGCTTTTCCTTTGGTTCACCTTCTTACTTAGCTTCTTTGGGATCACCAAGTGTAGACTCCGTGACCCTTGTTTATGGCTAGAAACCAATTATGAGTGAGTACATCCCATGTTCATCTTTTTGGGTCTGGGATACCTCACTCAGGATAGTGTTTTCTATTTCCATCCATTTGCATGCAAAATTCGAGAAGTCATTGTTTTTTAACGCAGCATAGTACTCTAATGTGTAGATATTCCACACTTTCTTCATCCATTCTTCCATTGAAGGGCATCTAGGTTGTTTCCAGGTTCTGGCTATTACAAATAATACTGCTATGAACATAGTTGAACAAATGCTCTTGTCATGTGATAGGGCATCTCTTGGGTATATTCCCAGGAGTGGTATTGCTGGGTCCAGGGGTAAGTTGATCCCGAATTTCCTGAGAAACCGAAACACTGACTTCCACAGTGGTTGCACAAGATGGCATTCCCACCAGCAATGGATGAGTGTTCCCCTTCCTCCACAGCCTCTCCAGCAAAGGCTATCATTGGAGTTTTTTATTTTAGCCATTCTGACAGGTGTAAGATGATATCTCAAAGTTGTTTTGATTTGCATTTCCCTGATTGCTAAGGAGGTTGAGCATGACCTTAAGTGTCTTTTGGCCATTTAAACTTCCTCTGCTGAGAATTCTCTGTTCAGTTCAGTGCCCCATTTTTTAACTGGGTTAATTAGCATTTTAAAGTCTAGTTTCTTGAGTTCTCTATATATTTTGGAGATCAGACCTTTGTCTGTTGCAGGGTTGGTGAAGATCTTCTCCCAGTCAGTAGGTTGCCTATTTGTCTTGGTGACAGTGTCCTTTGCTTTACAGAAGCTTCTCAGTTTTAGTAGGTCCCATTTATTCAATGTTGCCCTTAAAGTCTGTGCTGTTGGGGTTACACATAGGAAGTGATCTCCTGTGCCCATCTCCTGTAGGGTACTTCCCACTTTCTCTTCTATCAGGTTCACTGTGTTCTGACTGATAGTGAGGTCTTTAATCCATTTGGACTTGAGTTTTGTGCATGGTGATAGATATGGGTCTATTTTCATTCTTCTACAGGTTGACATCCAGTTATGCCAGCACCATTTGTTAAAAATGCTTTCTTTCTTCCATTGTATACTTTTGGCTCCTTTATCAAAAATGAGGTGTTCATAGGTTTGTGGGTTAAAATTCGGGTCTTCTATATGATTCCATTGGTCAACTTCTCTGTTTTTATGCCAGTACCACACTGTTTTCATCACTGTAGCTCTGTAATAGAGTTTGAAGTCAGGGATGGTAATGCCTCCAGACAATCCTTTATTGTATAGGATTGTTTTGGCTATCCTGGGTTTTTTGTTTTTCCATATAAAGTTGATTATTGTCCTCTCAAGATCTGTGAAGAATTTTGATGGGACCCTGATGGGGATTGCATCTTTCAATTAATTTTTATGATGTTTTGGGAATTATGGTAGGACCTAAGATAAATTCCAATCTGCAGGACAATAATGCTAAAATAAAATTCTCACCTTTTATAGATATATGAGATTTTGTAAAAATTGCCTTCTATTCCAAGTTCCTACCTGAAAATATGCTATTCCCAGAGTAATAACCTAAATCACAACTTTAGAGCAAGTAGTAAATTTTGTATTCAGTTGAAACCAAAGAAAGCACCTAGTCTGATAATGTTGTTTGGAGCTCAGGACTCTGTGGCTCAGAATCATTGCTAAGAACTCCCTAGGGTCACAACATGATGTGGTAGCAAATATTCATTTTCTGATTCTAGTCAATGCTTTTTGTACTGTGATTTTAGTCATTTTATGACCTCAAGACTAAGTCATTGTCCCACAAAATCTTAGAAGTTGGCTCCTATGACTCACTTAGGAATAACAATGAGCTGACTTTTAATATAGTTGGAATTGACTTTGAGGTCCTGAGCACAAAACTTTAAACAGGGGAGGGGTGGTGTTGACATGAACCTGTAGTAAATAGTGCTACACTTCATATACCCAAGCTAGTGTTAGGTAGCTCATTAGTTAGGTTTAAAGTAACCAGACCAATGACCATGAGCTGAAACCTCCACAACTATGAGACAAAAAATAATTCTCATAAGCCAACATCTTGGAAATTTTGTCACATTGATGCAAAGCTGACTAGCAGAACTGATTCATGAAAGTATATATTTTTCAGAATTTTCTACTTTTCAATGAGGGAAGCCTTGGGAAGACTTATTTCTGTGTCTCTGTATCACCTGATTCTCAATGGCTGTCATCGAAAAAAAAGCAGCATATCTTAGGTGCCATATTCAGAGACCTGTGCATTGCATTCAATAGAAAACAGGATCAGTTATTTAGAACTATTGTACACATAAAATGAATAATCCTAGAGTTGAGATGCATACAAAAAGAATTCAAGGTGGTCATTGCAGGTCACTGCTTTGATCAATAAGAAGACTGAGAGCATTTGGTTTCCTCCAAGATTATTAGTTCACATCTTTACCCGATGGAAGGAATTTATAGTTGTTTTCTAGCCTTCCAGGCCAACTCAATACTTTAATGATGCCGATTAACCAATCAGAGGTTTACTAACCCTTCAGCATTGTTTAAGTGGTCTCCATCTCTAAGACAGTCTACATCAATACAAACAGACAGACAGAATAACTACAGTACTTTCTCAGAAGCAACTGGACCTCTGATGCTCAATGTATATAAAATAGTTTTCACAGGATATAGTTTTATATAAGGAGTCTGCAAATTTTAGACAAAAATATCGAGATTAAATATAGGAATGCATTTCAATATTGCTTTTGCATCAAACTGTACCTGAAAATTTGTGCAACATAGAAAAAAATAGTTCCCATTTCATCATCTATTTCTATAGATTATTTTCAACAGTCACCTGAATTTACAGACTACAATTCTTTCATTTGAGGGTACCCCAAAGTGCTATCTGAATAAAATTAAGCTCATAAAATATAAGAGAAGCAGCATAAGTGAACTGAAAGTTTACATGTAGTGGAACTCAAACATTAAGACCTGCTTTATAGATTCTTTAAAAATATAATTCCCAAATAATCACTTTGTCTTTTGATGTAAATATTTAAATCCTAAGGCTATATTAACCACAATAAAAATACGACTACAGTTTATTGATACTTCATAGCACAGTTTCACTTTTGAAATTACAGGTATCCCGAGAGGGCGGAAGCTGGTGCCGGCGGGAAGGTTGTAGTGCGGCGCTCCATTGTGCTCGTGCTGAGTTCCGCGTGGCGCCCCCGCCCCGAGCTGAGTTCCGCGTGGGCACCTCCGGCCCCGGCACAGCCGTGACCGGACAGCGAGGTTTCTCGAGACTCCTCGCATCCGGATGATTGTAAAGTGCTGATCAGTGGCCACTGAATATAATTGAAACAGAATAGGAAGATGGCAGCAAATCCTTCAGGACAAGGTTTTCAAAATAAAAATAGAGTTGCGATCTTGGCTGAACTGGACAAAGAGAAAAGAAAATTACTTATGCAAAACCAATCTTCAGCAAGTCACCCTGGAGCTAGCATCTCCCTCTCCAGACCCTCTCTTAACAAGGACTTCCGGGACCATGCTGAGCAGCAGCACATTGCAGCCCAGCAGAAGGCAGCTCTGCAGCATGCTCACGCACATTCGTCTGGATACTTCATAACTCAAGACTCGGCATTTGGGAATCTTATCCTTCCTGTCTTACAGCGCCTTGACCCAGAATGAAGAAAGTACCTATGATCAGAGGGACCATGTAGTTAGTATCAGATGTCAAAGCTCTCATTGGGCTCTATACAAGCTCTGACTTTGAGGACTTTGGGGAATTTAGTTTTCTGTTTCTTTAAAGAAAGGAATAAGTGAGAGTGAAGAAAGAAGGGAAGCTGGGATGCTGAACGCGGTATGGTTGGCGGAATTGGTTCTGCTGCCTGTGACTAACTTCTTTGTATTACCATTTGACTCTTTATTCTCAGACTTAGAATTGCTTATTTTTATAAAATCTTCACCACCTTCAAGAAGTTGGACCGAATGTCTCACGCATGAAGCCTTGGATTTGACCCCAGCACTGCACAAACAAGCTCTGATACGCATCTTGGCACTAGAGAAACAGGCAGGAAGATCAGAAGTTCAAAACCATCCTTGCTTAGGTAGTGATTTTTGAGGCCAGTCTGAGTTATAGAAAACTGCCTCAAAAAACAAAATACCAAAACCAAACAAGGACCATTTATAGTCCTAACTTTAAAGAAATGAGGGTGCTATTTAAAAATGTGAACAATAGTCTTACATTACAAACATACTTTTGGTTTCTTGTGTTCAGAAGCAACATATGTAGAAATACTCTGAGCTGTAACTCGTTCTCCTATTCTGAATGTTAAAACTCCAAATAAGACTAAATTATCAACCAATCTTTGTTTTTCAATAAGTGATGTGACTAAATACTGTTATGAAAAACTAAGTAATATATTTTTATGTACTTAAATGTATTCGTATTCTTACTTCATGTTGCTACACAAACGGTGTGCTTGAGTCGTTTTCTATTTTTTATCTAATTGAAAATTTAAAACTAGGCAAATTAAAGCCTTTTAAATTCTCTTAAATAAAAAAAAAAAGAAATTACAGGTATCCCAAAGAAGGAGAGTTGTAGTATTCCATAAACAGGAAGCAAAACAAAAAATGTATAGAAATAGAAAATTACTATCTAAGGAATGTAGCAATAGCTGTATAAGTTACAGCCTTCCACCCAGAGAAGTTAACTAACACCCTCCATCATCTCCCTTCCTCCTTCTCTCTCTCTCTCTCTCTCTCTCTCTCTCTCTCGCTCTGTGTGTGTGTGTGTGTGTGTGTGTGTGTGTATGCCTCAACTACTATCTTGCCAAATATGAATACAAACAAAAATTTTGCAGCAAAGGTGAAATGAAAAAGATGAATATAAAGTCTTTAGCATGGTGCCCGTCAAACAGATTGACACATGTTAATCACGGTAATAATCCGTAGTATTAACTATAGCAGTGAGTTTATATAGCAAAAGAAAGAATGTAGGCTTTAAGTGGTCAGGTCCAATTGTGGAAGTAGCCATTATAGAATATAGTATCAGAGTGCCTTTTCCCTCAGGAGACGGGAAAAGGTACAGCATTTGAAACATGGCAGACATCATGAATCAGCAGTAAACTACCAATACTAGAGAGGGGTCCTGGATCTCCCCAGGCTAAGCGAATTTGTGTGATGATGAGAAATGGCTGAAAGCTTCAAGGCAGCTTACATGTTTATGATCAGCATTTAAATATGATCCTGTGAGATGCAAAAGAAACTGTGGCAATGATAGAGATGGATGAAGAGACACAAGAATGTACATCCCTATGCTCTGTGTTCTTGGACATGGTGCTGTTCAAGTCAGCCGTAGGTGGAGAACTGATTGAGACCAAGGATACATCCTGTGTAGGAAAGAAGAAACTTTGCCTCTTGAGATCTACAGGACACTCTCAGAGAGAAGCACACAGGTGATCTGATAGTCAGAGATGACCCAAGGATTCTGTGGTGGTTTGATAGAAAATGGTCCCATATGTTCACAGGGAGGGGCATTATTAGGAGGCGTGGCCTTGCTGGATTAACTGCAGCCTTGTTGGAGGAAATAAGTACCTGGCGGTGGAATTTGAGGTCTCAGAAGTTCAAGCCAAACCTGGTGTGGCACCCAGTTCTCTTCCTGCTGCCTGCAGATCCAGATGTAGAACTCTCAGTTACCTCTCCAGCACCATGTCTGCCTATGTGCTGCCATGCTTCCTGCCATGATGATAATCGACTAAACTTCTGAACTGTAAGCCAGTCCCAATTAAGTGTTTCTGTTTATAAGAGTTACTGTGGTGATGGCATCTCTCCACATCCACAGAACCCTTCACCCTCAAAGAAATTTGTTTGCAAGCAACTTACAACTTCCCCAGCTACATGTCATGTTCCTTTTTCTCCACCCTCCAATCAGTGTAACCGCCATGTTCTTTTTAGGAGTTAGCCTGCCTGTTGTTCTTGGAGTTAGTTCTAAGCTGTTTTTCTTTAAACTAAATTAGATATTACCTTTTAAAAATAATAAATAGGGACTGGAAAGGTGACTCATCAATTAAGAGTACTAGCTGCCCTGGATTCAATTCCCAATACCCACATGACAGTTTACAACTGTGTGTTAACTCCAGTTCCAGTGGATCCAACACCCTCACACAGACATACATGCAGGCAAAACACCAATGCATGTAAAATACAAATAGATAAATTTAAACATAACAATAACAATAAACAAGTAAGGTATGCTATCAAATCTATAGACATCTTAAGTTTGTTTGAATTAGAATAAAAATTGCTCAGGGAAAATCAGTAACTCCTATAATTTATCATCACATACCCACAAGTTCTCTCTATTAGAAGACAGAAATAACTGTGACAAAGGATGTCTGTTTTGGGGTTGGAGAGGTAGCTAAGCGGTTAAGACCACTTGCTGCTCTTCCAGAGGTTTTAAGTTCAATTCCCAGCAACTACATTGGGGCTCACAACCATCTATAATGAGATCTGGTGCCCTCTTCTGCTGTGCAAGAATACATGCAGACAGAACACTGTATAAGTAATAGGATAATAATAATAATAATAATAATTTTAAAAGATATCTTTTACATTGGATAGTATGCATTAGATTAGTGCTTGGTGAAGGACATTAGTAAGTTTTGCTTTGTGCTCATTCAACTGAAAAGTTAACAATAAGCATGGATCTACTTACAACACAACAAAAAGTAATCAAAACCACAAAAATTGTTAGGGAATTTGGGGAAAGTGAAGGCGGTGTGTTGTACTAAATAATGCTGAAATAAAAGTGATTAGTGTATCTCCTAAGCATGTCATTCTGAGAGTGTCTTATTTGCAAGTGTAAGAGAGACCCACAACCTTTTTTTTAATCACATCCAACCTTGCTGCTGTATATGATTACTTATAATTCTTAACAAATGTGTTTAAATTGTATGGTACAATATTCAACTTTATATGAATTTTTGTGTGTTCTATATTAGATCCCATACTACCTCCTGAAAGGGCCACACGACTTCATTTGTGTTTCTTTATTTGCTAAAGTAGCCATAATGGAAATCAATGCACACTCAACAACTGCTAGTGGCTAAAAAGCACTTTTATCCAAAAGAGTCAAACACCCTTCCTACCCATAATACCATCTCTCCAGGGTATTCTACACAGACTGCCTAATAATGAACAACATTAGCTAAGAGACCTTGGAGTATCAAATACATCAAAATTACCACTAGTGCTGCAAGTCTTATGAAGTCCATAAACAAGAGTTCTTTCTGTGTGTAGCATTTGCACTTGGCTTTTCTCAAAACCCTCAAGTTCTCCAATATTCCACAAATGTTATATAGAACAGATATGTGTTTTAATGATTTTCACCAGCTTCAGTTTTACTCACTTTTGAAAGGTTGCTTAATTTTTTTAAGTAAGCTAATTAGTGAACAAAGTAGCCTTGAATGATTGCAGGTGGCAATCCCATCCTATTACCCTACTAAAAGCTAAGGTGACACCAATTAAATTAAGGGTGACTGATAATTCTTCCTTATTACTTCACCTGTATTCATATTTCTGCAGTTTTTGCTAATGCTCTGGGGGTCAGTTAAAAGATAAGGGGGAACTAAATTCAGCTCATTAATAAAATTGAAAAGTTTGAGTTTCTAGGCTGTACATGCTAATTATTCTCTGTTGCCACTAAGGCGATTGAAATTAGCACAGGTAAGCACATAAACAACGAAAGGAGACTGTTGAGAAATGAACCTGAAAGAGGAAGGAGAAAAAAAAAAAACCACAGACAAGATAAACAATATCAGCATCCCACCAGCCAGGCAATTCTGCCAATTCCTCCTTGGTCCCAGCGGTACTTTTAACTTATTAGTGTTGGCTGGTACAGTTCCCAGGTGACCCGCTGCTTTAACTGCCTCATTGTTTGGTAACCAAAGGGAACAGTGCTCTTATTGCCAGTAACCTGATTAAGAATATTGAAAACAAGGGACAGAGCAGGTAATGATCTTTCTGCATAGGACCTCTGCACTTAGGAAGCACTCAAGCGTTCAGGAAATAAAGACGTGACCTTTTCAGTCCTGTGCCTCCTGTGTTGTGCCAATAGAATCCTCCTAAGTGGCTCCCAGCAGAAATGAAGTAATTCCCACACCAGTCATGCAACACACTCATTATGTTTACTCTAAATAAAGATGCACTAACAAGTCATCATTTAAGGTATGAGGAAGAGAGAGAGAGAGAGAGAGAGAGAGAGAGAGAGAGAGAGGAGACCAGGTACAACCCTACAGCCTTTTCCCAGTAACAGAAAATCATGTTCATTTTCAACCTTTTTTCTGACACCAATGTTCCAGTTGAACAGTTCTCACAAATTTGATTGTTAATGTAAAATTTTAATCTACAGTGCTAGCTATTAGGAAGGTACAATGCATATGAATATTTACCTTTAGATGCTAATAACTAGTGAAAACAATATTCACGGCCTTGATGTAAATCTCCAACCAAGGAATGAAAGATGAAAGGAGGGAGGAAAGGACTGAGGAAGGGAGGGAGAGGGAGGGAGGGAGAGACTAAAAATTCCTTTAGAGCAAAATCTAAAATATTATTGATGCTTAATAACATTTTACAGGTGATTTTTCATGAGGAAATCGACCACATTTTATCCAGTCTACATAGTGTGAAAAGACCTTGTTTTCTCTTTAAAAACAACCTTTCTTTA